ATCTCATGGTTGTCTTGATTTGCATCTCTCTCAGGGCTAGGGATTTTGAACATTTCTTCATGTGCTTGTTGGCCATCTGAATGTCTTCCTTGGTGAAGTGCCTGTTCATATCCTTCCACAGGGTCATTTTTGAAGTAATGGCATTCCTTACTTTGAATTCCAGATTTTCCAATTTTGAGTTAAAAGTGACCAGCATTCTAGGGCTAGTAAATTGTTCCTAGTTATTATGAACATACCAAACTTTCTGCTTTCTATATTTTAATCCAAATATATATATGAGTGTATCACCTCATGATTGTAAGATGACTGCCCTAACTCCAGACTTCTTCACCACCATTCGAGGAGAATAATAAGAACACAGCACCAGCTAATGTGAACTATTTTATCAGACTAGGAAAAGCTTTTCCAAAACCATATCTAGCTTCATTCTCTTTGTAGGAATTCTTTACATGCTTCACATATCAAAACTGTCACCCAGCACCCCTAGCTATAAGGAAGAGTGGGGAGCTTTTCAGTCACTATAGTAGAGGCAGGTAAAAAAAAACCCCAACATTTGGGAGTGAATGTATCTTCTACTTCTACTCTTTACTTTGAGCTACTGTGGTTATTTCTATCCCTTTAACTTCTTTATGGTCCAGCTCATTTGCTAATGAGAGAAATTCTTTAAAGATTGAGATTCTTTTTATAATTGACAAATGTACAGTACTGAAGTTTCATGAAAAGAATATATTACTGCTTACATTTTCATTTTATGTTCTATAAACTAATTTTTATCACCTTTTACCAGTGTGGAAAGTTCTGCGAAGGGTGTTTTTACATTTACACTTCAGTATTTTTCCATCAGAGCAATGTTTAGCATAGACATCGTGTGCAAAAGAAGTATAATCTTTTGTTGTACATTTTGTTGCTATTTTAAGGCACTATTATTATAAGTCAGATAAAAGATGTTGCTTCTTTTACCTAAACTGAAGATTTCAGTTGTAATAAGTTATTCTTTAAAAACAGTAGAAGTGTTTACTATAAGTGATTGAAATAGAGTACTAATTCAGGAAATATTTGTTAAACTTCTATTATAGGCCTCAGTGTATGTTATGTGCTGTTGAGTCATCTGTGACCCAAAATGACCCTACATACAGCAGCTCTGAACGCTTCCCTGTCCTGAGCCAGTCTCACTGATGCCAACACACCAAACCCCATTGCCCCACTTACTGTATCAACCCATGTCATCAGGGGTCTTCCTCTCCTGCACTGTCTCTCCACCCTTTCGAGCATGAGGTCCTTCTCCAAGAACTGGTCTCACCTGGCCACATGCCTGAAGTAGTTGGTAAGGAATGGTATTTGAGAGCAAACTCTCCAGTGGGTTTTTGGAGGCTATATGGCAGGAGATTGCCCATCTTTCTCCCTGGGAGCTACTGATGGACTCCTACTGCCAGAGCTGGTCAATCCTTGTGTTAGCAACACAACTCCTCATGGACTCAACCATCAGAGCTTCCTGGTAAAATGAAAATTCACCCACAATCTTGCTTAACGTTCTAGTGAGCATCTTTACAGATATCTCTTTAAGTACCTGTGCACATACAAGTATATCTCTATGGAATTCTAAATAAAATAGGATCATATTCTGTGTGCTTTTGGAAAGAAAATTGATTAAAACTCTGTCTATATTTCATTGTTGTTGTCGATTGCCTTCGAGTTGAGCATGACTCATAGCTATGAACAAAAGGCCTGAAGCCCCTCTATAACTATTGACATTTATCATACATATGTATATTAATTCATTTAGCTCTTCTTTGATGTGTTTAAATTGATTTTCATTTTAAAATAATTTTATAATGAATTTACTCATGAAAGAATTGTATGTGTGTCTATTTATGACTTTTTTTAATATTTGTGCAGTGGCCCGTAGGGCCATTGCTTAGTAGAGGATTGTTTCTTCTAGATTTCTTGATACTATTTTTAAAATAATTCATTTTTGCTACACTAATCTGTAATGCCATCTTAATCATTTTCCAGATTGCTTATATCTTACTCCACTTATCCCTTTGGAGACCGTACACAAATATCAAATTACTTTGATGATAGATAACCCATTGCCACTGAGGTCAATTCAAACTCATACTGGCCCTATAGGACAGGGTAGAATTTCCCTATAGAATTTCTGAGAATGTAAATCTTTACAGGAGGCATAGGATAGTTGGCAGGTTCCAACTAATGACATTTAAGTTACCAGATAAGGGTTATTCTGTGCTATTGTTGTTGTTGTTGTTAGGTGTCATCAAATCAAGTATGACCTGTAGTGACCCTGTGAACAATAGATCTGAGCTCTATCCTATTCCTGTGCCATCCTCACACTTCCTGACACAATAGAGCCCATTACAGCAGTCACCGTGTCAGTCCATCTGGTTGGGGGTCTTCCTCTCTTTCACTGATCATCCACCTTTCCAAGCATGATATCCCTCTCCAAGGAATAGCCTCTCCTAGCCAGATGCCCAAAGCATGTGAGACAAAGCTTTTTCATCTGTACCTTCAAGGAACACTCTGGCTGCACTTTACCCAAAACCTATTTGTCTTGACTGACACTGAAAAATTTCAGGAAGTACCATATGAACAAGAGCCAATGATAATGAAGGAAGAACTTGAAGCTGCATTGAAGGCAATGGCAAAACATAAGGCCCCAGGAATCGATGGAACACCAGTTGACATGCTTCAACTAACAGATGCATCCCTGAATGCACTCAGCAGTCTATGCCAGGAAATTTGGAGGACAGCTGTCTGGATGATTGGCTGCAAGAGATCCATATTTATTCCCATTCCCAAGGAAGGTGATCCAACAGACTGTGGAAACTATCTAACAATTTTGTTAAAACTATTCTTTTGGTAAAAGAATTTGTGGAGCTCCCTGCAACATCTGCAGTCACCTTTTATACCTTTTCTGGGTATTTTAGTTACAGGTTATATGTATCATTTAAGAAGACATCCTGAGTACTTACACTATAACTGGATGCATTTGTAGTGTAACCATGATCTAAACGTGGACCTCTGTAAAGCCATGTGGCACATTTTCAGTACATTGTTCCACATGTCTGTCTGCTTAGGATGGTATTTCTCTAGATAGCTTCTGTTGATATCTCTGTTAATAGATAAATATTTCATTTTAGCCTACTTCCTGTCCCTAAAATTCAATTCTTTATACCATCAACCATAGTTAATGCTTTTTGACTTCTCACTAGGAAAAATATGGACAGTTTACCCTTTCCTGCTCTTTTTCACTTGTCGGTACTGTTACCTGTATCTTTTCACTTAGTTAAGATTAATGCCTATTACATTTTCTTTTGAGGAGTGGTGCAGAGAGCCCTAGTTTACTCAAGATTTTATCATCTTAGTGAAATCTCTGATCATCCTGTCTAAAACTCTCCTGCCCCCTGGGCAAGCCAACAGGTGCACACATACCAGCTCCTTCTTCATTCATGTGTTTCTTTTACCACTTTCCAGACTCCTGTATTTACTTAATTTGCTTATTGTCTGCTTCTTCTTGAATATAAACTCTTAGACTGGAAATTATAGTTCTTTTACACTGCTATATCTATTATTTAGAATAATACTTGACATATAGTAGGCTTTGAGTACAGTTTCTTGTTGAGTTACGCATTAGTGTGAGATAGTCACTATAGTGTTTTGTGTATTAGTATTATGGTGTAATTTTGGTTTAGGGCTCTCACTACTGTGGAGCTAACCCTGAGCCCCATCTCTCTGGCAGTTTGAAATCCCCTAGCAGCTTCTCAAGAGAAAGATGTGGAATACCTTGTGCCATTTACAGCCCCAGAATCCCACTGGAGGGTCAGAATGAGTTGGTTCAGACTCAGTAAGTTTGAGTTTTTCACTACTATGTGCAAATGCACATGTTCCTATTTTTTCAAATACTACTAGTACCTATTATAAGTGAGGTTAATGTTATAATTATTGTTGCTGTTGAGTACTATCAATTTGGAATCTATGAGAGCTGACTTTCCTGTGAGTTTTCAGAGGCAGTTAATCCCATGGGAAGGGTTTTCCCATCCTTTTCCCATGGAGCAGTTGATGGATTCAAACCACATGCCATTGAGATTGCAGCACAGTTTCTTATCACCAGGACTCCAGAGCTCCTCTAATGTTATAATTTATGGTATTTAAGCATGAGACAGGGAGCTCTAGTGGCTAGTCTAGTGGTAAAAAACTGTATTGCCAACCCAAATCCATGCTGTTTAAATCCTCCCCTGCTCTGTGGGGAAAAGATAGGCAGTCTCCGCCTATGGTATTTATTATTATTGTTGTTGTTGTTGTTGTGGTGGTGGTGGTGGTGGTGGTGGTGTGGAATTGGAATTGACCCGTACATGACCCTCCAGTGGGTTTTTAGAAGTAATAAATCACACAGGAGGAGACTGCCCATCCTTCTTTTGCAAAACAACTGGTGGATTCAAATGACATGCTTTCGTGATTGCCTCTGAAAACCTGTTGGAGGGTCAGCTATGAGTCACTTCCAATTCAATAGCACATAACAACACAATAATAAATATTATACTGTCTGAAAGTATGTTAACATTTTAAAAACTTTAGGTTGACAGATTTGCAATGGAATTAGAACAGAGCCGGGATTTGGAGAATACCATAGTGCATATTGACATGGATGCTTTCTATGCAGCTGTGGAAATGAGGGACAATCCAGAACTGAAGAATAAACCCATGGCTGTAGGATCCATGAGCATGCTCGTAAGTAGGCAAAGATCAAACAGAAAAAGGAAGTTTTTTAGCATATTCAAATAAACCTTACTAGTTCGTAAAACCTTACTACTTCAGCCTTTATTGTCTTTGTCTTTTTTGAGTGATTTATAAATCAGAGGCTTTGTATACGCTCAATACTGAATATTTTCAACCTCCCATGAGGTACAGATATTTATTTCTATTAGCAGATAAGAGAACAAACTCAGAGATGTTTTAAAAATGGTTCAAAGTTCCAAACCTGGAAATAGGTATAGTGACATCTCTTTTTATAGCAAGTATCACTTTTCCTAAGTAACTGTTCTAAGTAAAAGAGTTGAAGAAGAAAGAAAGGGAAGTGTTATTCTAAGCATAAATTGGCAAGTGATGATCAGGAGGCCAATCTAGCCTCTGTTTTCTTGTTTTTGTGTAAATAAAATTTTATTGCAACACAGTCACACCCAGTTGTTTATTGTTGTAGTTGCACTAAAAGAGCAGAGTTAGATAGTTGGAACAGACTTCTTATGATTGGCAAAACCTTAAGTCTTTTGATGTGCCCCTTACGGGAAGGAAAGGCTTACCAGCACTGTTCTAGCCTAATATTTTACTAACATGGTACATTTAGACTACAGTTAAGTCAATATCCCATGGCTTAGCACTTTTGATATTGTGTATTTTCTTTTCTGGAACACCATCAAGAATTAGCATTGTTTTAAGTACTATTGATGTTTTAAAATGTTTCAAAAACATTAATGGCAAGTGAGTAATGCTATTGTGAAATAAATACCATCATTGGGTAGACTCAGTATTGCCATTTCCCCCATTTTTACCTGAAATGTAAAACAAAGATTCATTTGTGACTTAAGCTATGGTCTGATTATCATTATCAATAGTATTTAATAGATAATGTTCTCTTTCTTTACACTCATGATTTTTCACTTCTAGGTCTCAATTAAAATATGTTTACCAAAAAAAAGTATTTAAGCTTTTAAAAAGAAAAATTCTTTTCAAAGTTCATTTACATTTCAGTCTCTTAATGGAGATTGATTCTCCATCTCGCATACTTTGGGCATGTGGTGAGGAGGGACCAGTCCTTGGAGAGGAACACAGTGCATGGAAGGGTAGAAGGACAGTGCTGGAAAGGAAGACCCAGGATGAGATGGATTGACTTGGTGACTGGAGAAATTATATTAGATCTGTCAGAGATGATGAGAGTGGCTTAGGATAGGGCAGGTTCAGAGCTGATGTGCATAGGGTCACTGTGAATCACAGGTGACTCGATGGCACATCACAACAACAACAACAATGGAGGCAACATCTTGAAGCATAGAGGAAGGATTAAGACTGTCAGTGATGTCATCTTTCGTGGATCCATGATCAACATGCATGGTACCACCAGTCAGGAAATAAGGAGACATGTTACACTGGCAAAGTCTGTAGTCAGAAATTATTTTTAAAAAAATTAAAAATTAAAAAAAAGAAATTATTGAGGAGTAATGATATTATTTTGAGGACAAAGGTGCACCTGATTCCGGTCATGCTCTTTCAGTCACTTGTTGTGCATCTGAGAGCTGGACAATGAATAAAGGTGACAGAAGAAGAATTGATGCCTTTGAACTGTGGTGTTGGAGAAAAGTGCTGAATATTCCATAAACTGCCAAAAGAATAGGTATGTCTTGGAGAACATGCAGCCTGAGTGCTCCTGAGAAGCAAACAGGATGAAGCTTTGTCTTAAATACTTCAGGCATATTGCTAGGAGAAGGTATTTCTTTGAGATGGACATCATACTTGGAAAGGTAAAGGAGTCAGCACAAGAGAGGAAGACCCTCAACCAGGTAGGTTGACATGGTGACTGCAGTTAACAGTCTTGTGTTAGCAATTTTGAGGATGACACGGGATAGGGCTGTATTCAGATAGGATCACTATGAGTCGTACTCGACTTGACTGTAACTAACAACAACAATTAGTAATAAAGAACACACAGTCACTGTATTGAATAAAATTGGCTGAAACAGAACAATTTCACACAATAGCATATGATTAAGAAGCAATGGTAGGAAAGGAGTAAGTTCAAGCTGCTCCGAAGGAATTGGCAAAAAAGGCCACAGGACTTGATGGAATACCAGCTGATGTATTTCAATAGACACAGCCCTAGATGTGCTCACTAGGTTGTGCCAAGAAATCTGTAAAACAGCTGCCTAGACAACTGAATGGATGGGAGCCATATTCCCATTTACAAAAAAAGGTGATCCATACACGTATGGAAATTATCAAACTGTATCACTAATATCATATGCAAGCAAAATCTTGCTAAAGGGTATTCAAAAGAGGACTGAAACAGTACATCTACTGAGAACTGCCAGAATTACAACCTTGGTTTAAAAGAGCCCATCACACTAGGGACATCATTACCAGTGTCACATGGATCTTGGCTGAAAACACAGAGTACAAAAAGGATGTCTATTTATGTTTTATTGACTATACAGAGACATTTAACAGATTGTGGCTGATATTGAGAAGAATGAGAATCTCAGAACTCTTTTTTTTTCTATAATTATATTTTATTAATTTTCATAAACATTTACAGAGATTTTGGGCTTCCACTCATTC